TTGATTATGTAAAGTTGCTGCTTTTTGGCAATGCCTATGTCATTCATCATGCCTAAGAACGTAGAGCATTCATCTGAGAAAACGCCAAGGGAGCTCATGGAGAGATTTACAAATTTCACACATCTGAAAGTTCTACTCATTTCGTTAATCAAGTTCCGATATTTTTCTTTTTTACGTACTGCATTGTTGTACAAGTTAGATTCGAAACCAACTGTTAATTCTAGAACATATAGGCACTTGGACTGGGTTAGGAAAAGAAGATCTGGGCGATAATTTTCACCAGTTATTATTGAGGGATTTAGAAAACCAGTAACATCTGCATAGATTGAGGAGCTAACATTAATTACAGGTTGAAGGGACTTGGCAATGAAGTTAAGGATTGAGTCGTGTCTCCAGGTAAAGCGATCAAGGCATTGTTGACAACCAGCGACAACATGAAGGAGTGACTCAGGATTAAGGCAAAAGGAACAATCAGGACTTTGTGATAATCCCCATCTTACCAAATTCTTACGTGTAGGAAGAGAGTTGTTGATGTAGCGGATGGTAAAGTTGTAAATGTTCTTCGGTAGATGGGACTGGGCCACTGACCAAATAGAATTAACAGATGACAATGAATACTTGATAATATTTGAGAAGAAGAAACCTTGAGATGATAATAATAATAATAATAATAATAATAATAATAAGACATTTATAGAGCGCCATTTCCCATGGGTCCAAAGGCGCTATTTACAAAGTCACAGTTCAAAAATAGTTTAAAATAATTAAAATTAGTTAGTTAAGGTTATAAAACACCAAGATCATTTCATGAATTTAGAAAGCACGTGTAAAAAGAGCAGTTTTAAGCCGTCTTTTGAAAATGTAAAGTGATCCAGCATCCCTAACAAGCTGAGGATGACTGTTCCAGAGAAGTGGTGCGACAACAGAAAAAGCACGACGACCATAACTATCCGTGTGGAAGGCAGGGACGACAAGTAAGATTCTTCGTTGAAGACCTAAGGTTGCGTGGTGGTTGACAGTTTTTGAAAAGGTGTTTAATTTAAGTCGGAGCAAGACCATGAAGAGCCTTCTATGTAATTGTAAGTATTTTAAATTCAATTGGGAGATCAATAGGAAGCCAATGGAGTTTTTTGAGAACAGGTGTAATATGGCAAAACTTTGGTGAAACAGTAACAACACGAGCAGCTGCATTATGAACACGCTGAAGCTGTTTAATCAGATACTTAGGCAAACCATATAATAGCGAGTCGCAGTAATCAAGTTTTGATGTGACTAGGGCATGAACAAGAAGCTGGGCTGCATCAGCGGTGAGATATCTATGAATGATATTAATTTTACGAAGATGATAGAATGCCGATTTGCAAATTGCAGTCACTTGAGGAGCCATATTTAGAGATTCATCAAAAAGAACTCCAATGTTACTTGCTCTTGAAGAAGCCAGCACTCTCTCATCACAGACATGATTAAGTGACAAGGCTGGTCGAGCAAGGCCGTTACGAGATGATATGACAAGAGGCTCAGTTTTGTCTTTATTTAATTTTAATCTATTAAGAAGCATCCAGGTGTCAATTTCCCGTACACAGGCCTCCAGTTTACACTTGCTCAGCTCCATATCATTAAGGGATGACATCTCGAATGTTACGTAGAGCTGCGTATCATCCGCATTTAAGTGAAAACTCAACTCGTGCTTACAGGCGATATCACTTAATGGAGAGGTGTACATTGCTTTATATCACACAACCCTGAAATGATTGTGATGCCATATGATTATTGCTTTCTGCTGTCTTCCATAGTACGTGGCTAGAACTGAAATCATAATGTCCTAGAGCCTTATATAATCCAGAAATCACATAGAGAGAGAATTCAACTGCGTATTAAGTGCAAATGTTGAACTACCCAGACACTGAAAAAAAAATTAAAAAATAAAAAAAAATAAAAAAACAATAAGGAGCACCAGAAAAAATTGGTTAAAATTGGGTACAGATCAAAATCCAACTGTTACACTCACCCACTCATTCATCTCGACAACATAATTGTGGCTGGACCTCCTAGAGGAGGCAGTAGCCACAAAAAATGAGTTTTAAAAATAATATTTTTTTTGGGTTAGAGATTTTCCTTTTTTGCTGCAAATATTTTATTTTTTTGTTGTTGTCATTTGGTTCTTGAAAATGGTCATCTCAGAACAACAACAACCAACAATTCATTTGCCTAATTAAAGAACATTATAACATAGCTTGTAACTTCGTGCAACCAAATTCAATAGCGCGAGCGTGCTTCAATTTTCCATTGTGCACGCTGGTGACGTCAGCAAACAAATGCCTGGCGAAAAAATATTTTTCTCGCGAGTGACTTCAGCCTTTTTCATTAAAAAAAGGGAAAAACTTCCGCAAAAAGTTAAACTAGATATGATAACAAGTGAACAAGCCGATGAAGATCTGTCTACTTTTTCTTTGGGAATGGATATTTTAACTCCCGAGAAAGAACCCAGAGGGAGGGAAAACAAACCAATTAACGGTTTTATCTCGTTTCGGAACTCTAACTTCATTTCCACACATGAATTCATCTGTCAATTTTTGACCAATCTGAGACAAGATCATTGAAGCATGGCGATATACTTTTCCGAAATATAGGAAAGCGTAGGAGAAGGAATTTCTGCTCTTTATACATAAACTACAGTGTTGAAAATGTTATAAAACAATTGGTTCCTACATCAGCTGTGCGTTCATCGAGATATGAAGCCCTTGGGAAGTTTGGAGAGCACTCAAGAAGCTAGAGTTCCTCTCGGCTACGCCTCGAGCAATTCTTCTGCATCTTTCGTGCTCTCCAAACTTCCCGCGGACTTCATATCAGATCTCGATGAACGCAGCTGACCTAGGAACCAATTGTTAAACAGAGTACAGGTACATGTAAATAGATAACATGAGTTAATAGCAGTCAGACAAAGAAAGAAAGAAAGGAATAGGAGAATGGAAGTGGGATCGAAAAGCATCAGATGATAATTGATATAATTTTAGACGTAGGTTTTACATGTAACTTTAAAGAAAGAGAGTTTACACTATCGAAAATACTTATAACTACACCACTGCTCTTAATATAATTATACTTAAACATTTTCCTTTGATTCCTTGTTTAAATGATCGCAGAGAAAGACTTTTTATTTACCCTTTTCATTGTTTCAAATGTATGGACCGTGACCACAGAAGTGCAAATTATATTTCTCATAGTTAGTTCTTATACCATTGATGTAAATACATTGTTACGAGGATCGAATTATTTTTACTGAATCTGTTACGCAATCCCAGACTTTTGCAGAATTATCTATAATCTGTAATATTCCAGAAACTTCTTTCATGTGACTCAGCAGTTTCCAAAAGTAGTATAACTTGTAATACGCTATAAATAGTAATAGAACCTTCTAGATAACTAAAGTAAATGTATAAAAGCTGGCTTGTGAGAAGTACAAAAGAGATTTGCCCGAGGGCTTACCTTCGTGGCTTGCTGACTGAACTTGTGGAAGCTATGAT